ATCAAGCGTTTTGGAAATTTCTGTTCCTAAAAATATTGGTGACACCGATTTTCATGTTGAGAAGGTCGTTCAAGAAATTTTGGCAAAAGAACCAAAAGGCATTCATTTAAAACGCCATTGGTTGTACGTTATTGATTCTGGTGGTCAACCAGCATATCAAGAGCTGCTGCCATTGTTTACTAGAGCGGCTTCTCTTAATATCATCACTCTTGACCTCTCTAAACCTCTTAATGAGAAGCTTCACATGATGTACAGGGCTGATGGTGAATATTTTCCGTGTTACTCTAAGTCCACCCAGTTAGCATCTTTCCACTCTGCTGTATCTACAACAGCTAATTTCAAATCTCTTGATGTGATTTCTTGCGTCACTAAAGCACATCGTCATTCAATGCATCTCGTTCTGGGAACACATAGTGACAAAGTGAATCGAGCTACTCTAAAGACATGTGAAGATGCTTTGAAGTCTTCAATATCTTCTTTACAACCTTACTTAAATGACCGTATCATCAAAAGGTCAGAAAATTCGATTATATTTCCTGTCAATGCAGTTGCTAAATCAAAGGAAGAAAGGGATAAATACAGGGAAGAAATTTGCCAAGCGATATGGATGAGTGGCTCTGATGCTTCTGTTACAATCAAAATACCAATTCGATGGTTTAGTTTTGAACTCTCTTTGCCTCAAGATAGAAGTACCATATCTTTTAAGGAAGTAGCAGCTATTGGGAGAAAATACAACATGAAAGAGGAAGATACTAAGGATGCATTGCAGTATTTTCATGATGTCAGCCTAATGTTATTTTAATGTAGTGTTTCTTGATCCTAAGCCTATTCTTGATATTCTCTCACATTTATTGGCCCTTACATATGTCCAAGTCGATGATAGCGCACCAATTGTACTACAAAAATCTATTTTGCTTGAACCCATCTCTCAAACCATGGTAAATAACCTTAGAGATGGTTTCTTTTGTAAAGAAATTTTTACCTGCTTAAAATCAAGCCAAAAAATTTTTAGCCACCCTGAATTTCAACTTCATGATTTAGTTTCTCTTTTGCTGTATCTCAACATCATCACAAAAGTAGAAGGTAACAAAAAGGGTCGCTATTTTATTCCTTACGCTCTTCCTTCATATTGTGTCTCAGATAGCCAGCCTACAATAGAAAAGTCAGATGTTCAATCGCTTCTTGTAGTTTGGATAGATGAGAATAAGTGT